GTTTAAAATGGGGATTCCATATAGGAGAGGGGAAAAGGGGGAAGAAATGTTAGTAGGAGGCAAAAAGTTGGTTGAGTTGAGGCTAGACAAAACAGGTGGGTCATGGAGTTGCAACCAAAAGGGCCGAGTGACCCACATTCGATTATGGCAGCCTCTGCCGACCCAAAAACAAAAGGAATAAAGTGAAAACCTCCACATGCATCAATTGCTCTCAGCTCATGAATTGCTAACTGAGCATTCTCCTCCCCTCTCCGCTCTTACAAAGAAAGTGCTAGCTAGCTGATCGGCCAGAAAGAAAAAAAAGATGTTACATCACATCTAGCTCTCTGTGATTTGCTTATATATTGGCTTTCATCATCAACATCATCATCATGTCCCTCACATTCATACATAGCAAGCAAGGATTTGAGTTCTAGATTGACCATTCATTTGATTGATCTAGACCTATATAATTACCACCTATAAAAGACCTGTTCTATGTTGTCAAATTTATTCTAAATGAATACCAAATCGAGGTTCACTTTTTTACTCTTTACTCACAAGTCACAACAACAAAGACAAAAAAAAATCTAGCGCAATTAGAAATTTATCGTAATAGAGAAGTTCATGTAAGAAAAATCATTAGGGTTAAACCGACTCAACGATAGAGTTAGAAATTTATCGCGATAAAGAATCTCAATTATCTGTCCTTTTGGACAAGGGAGAAAGTGATAATGGGGTGAACTTTTATTTGAACTTGTAATTCTAGTACAGATATTCATGCTGTGCCTTATTTGTTTCACATTTAATGGATAAAGTTAAATATTGTTGGAAGTTTGCAGTGGTAGTTCAACAAAAGTCCACCTACGAGAGAGGACAGGGATCTTCTGTTTAGCTTAATAAAATCGATCACAGAACAGAATGGTACTTTGATACATTTTAATAATTGACCTTGATTAATTAACAAAGTATGTTTAGGAATGATGTAATGTGCACCGCTTGGACACATGTCAGACATGCCGGATTGAATTAGCTTCCAATTGAAACCAAGTCTAAAACCCATTTATAAATATTATAATTATATATGAATTGATTGATAAAAAAAGTAAATGATTAAAGTTAGAATATAATCATTTGTAAGTGGGAAAGATAAAGTGAGTTAAATCAGTTGGTCACGACAGTGTGTCAGTCTTTGTACTTAACTTTAATTTCTCGATGTATTAGAATAATTTACAATATCGCTTTGTTAGAAAGAGGGAGAGAGAGAGAGAGGAGAAAAGGTGTTGCCAGTTGATCAGTTCCATGCAGGGAATGTGCAAAACATGCTGTACATTTCATGCTGCCTCACTGTCTCTCATTTCATTTGTCACATGCCCCTACCCCTCCTCTCCAAAACTCCTCATCTGCATGTGCTTCCCATGTGCTCTTTTTCTCAACTCTCTCATCTCAAGCTCTTCTCAAAATCAAAACCCTCTTCTTCTCTCAAGCCAGCCCTCAGATGGGCAGGCTTTGCTGGCTCATATCACCTTCACATGCATCCTTTAGCGAAGCTACACTCCCACTCCCAAGACAACCCACCTTGACCTAGCAAGCTCACACTCCAACCTTTATTTCCATCCCAATTTCCTATTTTGCCCCTTACCTTGTTTCATCACACTATTAATAAATTATACACAAGCTTTAGCCCCCCTTTGTGGACAAAATCAAAAGAGGGAAACAGAAGCTTAATTTGTCTTGCTATGCCTTCTCTTCTGGATCATCCTATGTCGCTCGTAATTAATTGTCACTTGCTTTGTTGTTTCCGTCTCTTGGACTTTGGTATAGTATCATGTTTGTCCTTTGTTTGCTTGGCCACATAACGTATATGATACAGTACTCTAATTTATGTGATCATTACGTATTAGATCTAATAATGACGATTCGTTGGGCTTGTTATTGACTTGTCGTGACTTATAACCAACAAGATTTATTAACTTATAATCAATCGTGAGCTATTAATTGGGGGTGATATAGTGTTTGAGATCTACATCAATCAACGATTATCAATTGTCTATTCACTCGTGAAATTTACACAACTCAACGATTAGCTTTCAACGTGACATTTTTATGATTTATTATTGTATTGTTGGGTCTTAAAAACAACCCAAATCGAAAATTAATTAATGTATCTACCCTTGATTATGAGAGAGATGAAGGTCAAATGTTATAATGTTTATCAACTCTCATACAGAAAATTAAATGATTAAACTTGAGGGTAGTTTGGGAATGAGGCATTCGACGGTCCCGGACCTCACATGTGCCGTTACAGATGGGCAGGCTTTCTGCCTTAAGGCTCGCAAGTTGTGCCCTGTTCCCGCTTTCTCCTTTTAATTGAGATGCCAAACCATCGAATCGTGAAATTACAAAAATAACCTCCTTCTCCTCGTATGAAAAAAATGAAAATCTACACTCCCTGCTGCTTGCATGATATTTTCTCTCCAATTATAACGCAATAAATAAAAGGCCCAAAAATGACAGAATCAGAAGAAAACGCGTAAACGACAGAGAAGAAGCCAAAAATGGCATTTCCGTAGTAAACTGCAACCCAAGTGTCAATTTGTGAACCCGCCATTACTTAAACCCCGAAAGGCCTCTTCTTCATCACATTCTTCTCTCTGTGACTCTGTTTTTCACAGACAAAAACACAATGAGCTCAGCTCCAGGAAACCTCAAAGCCAGCCTGGCAGGAAGAAGAAGAACAAGAAGAACCAGCTCAAGAAGAAGACTGGGATCACGTGCCTGTGGAGCTCCGAGAAGAAGCTTCAAGAATGGCGGGCGCAAGAGCAAGTGTTCTTCAAAGACGGTCTCAGCGAAGCTGGAGACCCTGAAGAGCCTCATCAGCCCATCCCACCCTGGAAAGACGCTAAAAGCTGACGAATTGTTCCAAGAAACGGCGGATTACATCGTTCTGCTGCGAACCCAGGTCGTGATTTTGCAGAGACTCGTTGAGCTTTATGGATCTAGTGAGAAAGAAAATATTGATGCTGCTGCTGTATTATAGTTCAATATCTTTCAATTTTTCAATGGAAAGAGAAAAAGAAAAAAAGAAAGACGGGGTCTTTGGGGTTTTTATTTTATTTTTTTATAATCTTTTAATTTAATTTTCAAGTTTAGATGTTACGTGCTTTGTGTGGTTGAAGATCATCACCCACCACATGAGGCTGAACTAATTAATAGCTAAATTTTTCATCAGATCTTTTGTAGCGGAATGTGTTACTTTATATCTTGGTGCATATGGTGTTCATTAATCTTCTGCAAAAAAATGATGGACAAGTTCTGTAATTTCGATTAGATGAAATTTTCTGCAGGGTTCATTCATTTGAATGAAGTTGAAAGATTTACAATTTTCCACCTTTTTTGCCCGAAATTGGTCATATTTTTTTTGAATAATTAATCAAGCTTTTGTTGTGTTATTTTTGTTTTTCTGTCTGAACTAAAATGCATAAACAAAAAAGGTAGGAATTTTTTGGTAACCCAAGAGTTAGACATCCCTTCTGGTCCTCTCTATGTGTATGTCTCTCTTACTGACGCACACTGCACACACATCATTTTCTAAGCACACAGACATATGCGGTGCAGAGCAAATATATATATATACATGATGACATGATGGATCTACATCCAGCCCATGCATGATGCAAAATGACTGAGCTCAGGCATGGCATTTTTACAGCAAAGCCTGAAAGCATAATATGTCAGTATTATTAATTCTGCACAGAGAGGGAGGAGAAACACTTGTGTGCTATGTCGGCCAATCACAGTATGTCACGCCCGTGTGATAACTTTTTCACTTGATATACCGTGATTGGCTGAAAATAGCAAAACAATGTTATTTCCTTTTCACACAACTTTTTCTATAGAGAGAGAGAGAGAGAGATAGATAGGTGAGGAGCATGGGGTGTGTGGTGGTGTTGCCAGAAGTGATTGCAGTAAGTACTGGTACTATAATTGAAGTTAAGAATGGGAATGGGTGTGTGCAGTAAAAATTGAATTCTGATAGATATTTCACATAATATCTTTGATGAAAATGACAGCAGTGCCCCTTGTCCTTGAATTTGTCCTATCACTTCCAATGCCGGTGGTGGCATGCGGTGTTTGTGATGATAGTGACAAGTTTTTCTCAGCAGCACAGTCAAGAATCCCATGTGCAAAAGCCAAATTTTGAGGGGTCTTTTGCCAGTTTGTATGTCTCCTCCTCCTCCTCCTCTCCTCTCTGCTCCGTAAATCTCTGTCTTACTTAACGTTCTTTCTGCTCTGTGTAATTAAGTGCGTTTTAAACGTAGAAAGGAAACCATGTGCAAAAGCAAATCACAGCAACTCAGCATGCTCTTCACTGTTCATTTAGCAAAAATGGTGCTTTTCAATAAATTTTGTAACATGGAGTTGATAGCTTGCTTTTAATGACTTTCTTGGGCTTGGTAGGCTCTACTCACTAGTGGAAAAATGGATTCAAAAAGAGAAAGGAGGTTTTGAGTTCTTTATTTTTTGATGAAAGAAAGTTTAAGGGGAGGGGAGGCTACCCCATCCCAAGTTCAGGGCATATTAAGGCCTTTTTGAGGACTTATAGAGAGGATATTAGCTCATTTTTAAGTTTATACAGATTATCCGCTAAGAGGGATTGTCAGCAATAAGACTTGAACCTAGGTCTTGATAGCGAAGAGAACGATTCTTACCAACTCAACCAACCCTCGTTGGCGAGTTTTGAGTTTTGATTTGAGATAACAAAGTGTTTCACAGAAATAAATGTCCCCATCTGAATTTGAGTCCTTGTTCTTTCATTTCAAAAAGCAACCTTGACTGGCTACAATCGACAAGCCTACAAGCAAATTTAATGTATGTCACATCTTCATCACCTAGCATTTGCCCATACTCTTGGAGCCGGAGGAAAAACATTGCTTTCTCTTCTTTCGAATAACTCCAATAAAGTACGCCATCTGCAGACTGCTGGTTCGTTCCGTACTTAATAATTTCAATTTGTTACATTGTATTTAGTCATTTCAAATACGTTGTATCGAATATCTAATAGTTCTATGATTCTTCCAACTAGTCGACTAACAATTTGATACAAAATAGTATATTGCATTATTTTATCAACTGATACATCGGCCTCACATCAATTCTTGAAACAGATTAGTCAATAGGCCACTTGCCTATGACTTCATCCATTCAATAAAATTCTTAAAGGTCTTGTTGGATTGGCCACCTTCTTTGACACTGGTCATAGCCAATTCCTTAAGTTCAGAAGCTCTTGCTTTGAAACCTTCATCACCAAGCAGTTGGTCCAACTTGTTCATGATTTCTCCTTGTGTAATGATCCCACTTTCATTCTTGTTGAACTTCAACCCCACCTTCCAAACATCACAAATGTAGCTCTCATTAAGGAACTGGTCAGCAAAGTATGGCCAGCACAGGAAAGGAACCCCATTGCTTATACCTTCTATTGTAGAGTTCCAACCACAGTGGCTTAAGAAGCAAGCAATGGAAGGATGAGCTAGAACCTTTTGTTGAGGTGCCCAACCCACCATCAGACTGCGAGAGGCTACTCGGTCTTGATATCCTTCTGGGTAGGGATCAGATGTTTTGTCAGTGATATCTGGCCTCACAACCCAGAGGAATGGCCTTTGGGACAGCTCAAGAGCCAGGGCCAGTTCTTGGAATTGGGTTCGATCAAAAACTGTGAAGCTGCCAAATGCAACATATATGACTGAGCAGGGTGGCTGTTGATCCAGCCAATTTAAGCAAGTTAAGTCTTGTGGCCAGAAGTATCCTGCTGAATTCCCAAGCCTGTTGCTTGCCAAGAGAGGGCCAATTGGTAAAATCTGAGGTGCCAAGGTGAATGCTGCTGGTTCTAGATCGTATGCCGAGTTGCAAAGAAGCCAGTCTGCGGCTAGCGTAGCCTTGTTGCTTCTTACCATAGCTTGAAACATAATTTTCTGAGTGGTTAAGTCGCCAATACATAACCACAACAAGTGTTCAGTTTTCATGATGGGCATGTTTGGTGCCAACTGAAACATCTGGCCTTTTGGGGCTGTTCCTGCCACAAGTGAACCGTCGTGAAATGATAACAGATAAAAACAGATCTCCAGAATTGAACTTCTTCAAATTTCCAAATAGTCGTTGGATCAAAATTTTACATTTCAGATGAGATGAGTGAGCTTGAACAATCTTGATGAAAAACTAGTTGGACTAAAATATTATGTACTTGACAAGTTAGGGGTAAGAGGATCTCACCATCATTGTTAATGATTCCTTCATGAATTAACTTTGGTACACTAAGTTTCAACGCCAAGACTGCAGCTGCAGCAGGATAAAAGGCAACCCTCCTGATTTTCATTTTCTCTACTACTTCAAGCATCCACCCGGAAATCTGATCAGCAATGACACAAGTGATTTTTTGGCCTTCCCCTTGGTTGATCTTCTCTATCAGCTCCTCCAACTTCCCAGGCATGACTCGTTGCATTGCTTCTGATAACCGCCCTGCCTCATTCCTGTCCTCAAACGGTTCTAAGCCATCTGGAATCGAAACTAGATGGATATGATCCCTGCTTATATGACTTTCATCAGCCAAAGCATTCATGATTCGCTTATGATTGTGCTCTGTGTTCACAAATGTGACTTTGAAGCCATGATTAGCTAAACACTGTGACAACTCCATCAAGGGAATTACATGACCTTGTGCTGGATAAGGAATAGCTAAAATATGTTGTTTGCTCATTCTTTTTCTTTATTTTCCGTTTTCCCACTTTCAGATGTTTTCTCATCTTAATCAGGTCTTTTTAAATATCAGAAGCCATTACTGTCGGTGTTGACTTCATTGGTACTGGTATTATTTTTAAGTCATTAATTTGGTTTATTATATTGTTGTTTTCTTTGTTGTAAAGAATGTAGTGGAACCCACATAAAGAAAAGAAGAAAATAATGATGAAGTTTGTCTGCCATCTTCCCTTGAGAGCCAACCACAATTCACGGGAAGCTATCAACTTCTTCGCCTATAAAAAGGCTTCATCCTTCCCTTGCATTTTACACACCCAACTGGGAGAAGAAAGAGAGTCAGGCAGAGAGGCAGGAAAGAAAGGGAGAGTGAGAGGAGAGGAAAAAGAGAGCAGAGAGAAATTCTCTAAGAGAGAAAAATCCATGAGTCATATACATTGTAAACAATAAAGTTGTAGCCCTATTATTTTACATAGTGGACAAGTTACTGCTGCTACTCTCCGAGGACGTAGGCCTGGCCGAACCTCGTTAAATATTGCGTCTTATTAACTTTACGTGCAGCTCAATATTCCTGCATATACTGTTCATTTCACAACATTCTTGATGCTTTGGTGAATGTGTAATTTCTTAGTTGATCTTTGTGGAAGTATTGAAGATGTTAAATATGCAATAGACAAGGGTGTTCTTTTCATGCTAGGGACACTTGAATCAATTGGCCAATGAGAGTGATTAGAGGTGGCACACGTTTGATTGACATTGACATTGAAATGGTGAAATTGTCATACATTATTGTACATTAAATATAGTTGAAACATATGAATTTTGACATATCATATGGTGCACTCTTGAACTTCAAACTCGAATTTTGAGGTGAGGGGCTTGTAGCTCAAGTAGTAGTAGTAATTAACTTTGCACTCAATGTCCTAGGTTCGATTCCCCCTTCCCTAATAAGACTTGTATTAAAAAAAAAAAACTAAAAAAAAACTTGAATTTCGAGTAGACGAAACCAAATGATAGGCAACTTGCTTGCTTACGATTTGATCCATTCAATAAAATTCTTAAAGGTCTTGTTAGATTGGCCACCTTCTTTGACACTGGTCATGGCCAATTCCTTGAGTTTGGAAGCTCTTGCTTTGAAACCTACATCACCAAGCAGTTGGTCCAATTTGTTCATGAGTTCTCCTTGTGTAATGATCCCACTTTCATTCTTGTTGAACTTCAACCCCACCTTCCAAACATCACAAATGTAGCTCTCATTAAAGAGCTGGTCCGCAAAGTATGGCCAGCACAGGAAAGGAACCCCATTGCTTATACCTTCTATTGTAGAGTTCCAACCACAGTGGCTTAAGAAGCAAGCAATGGAAGGATGAGCTAGAACCTTTTGTTGAGGTGCCCAACCCACCATCAAACCGCGAGATGCTACTCGATCTTGATATCCTTCGGGGTAGAGATTACATGTTTTTTCAGTAGTGTCTGGCCTCACGACCCAGAGGAAAGGCCTTTTGGACAGCTCAAGAGCCAGAGCCAATTCTTGGAATTGTGTTTGATCAAAAACTGTGAAGCTGCCAAATGCAACATAGATGACTGAGCAGGGTGGCTGTTGATCCAGCCAATTTAAACAAGTGAAGTCTTGTGGCCAGAAGTAGCCTGCTGAATTCCCAAGCCTGTTGCTTGCCAAGAGCGGGCCAATTGGTAAAATCTCAGGTGCCAAGGTGAATGCTGCTGGTTCTAGATCGTATGCCGAGTTGCAAAGAAGCCAGTCTGCGGCTAGCGTAGCCTTGTTGTTTCTTACCATAGCTTGAAATATAATTTTCTGAGTGGTTAAGTCGCCAATACATGACCACACCAAGTGTTCAGTTTTCATGATGGGCATGTTTGGTGCCAACTGAAACATCTGGCCTTTTGGGGCAGTTCCTGCCACAAGTGTGTTAGACCATGTTCTGATGTGGCTAAATCTGCTCTGATACCATATAAGATTTCAAGATGCTGTAAAAGCTTGCATACCAATACGGCTGCAGCTGTGTATATTTATATTGATTGTAACAGATAAGCACAAGTTTGAAATACAAGAAGCTGTTCCTACAAACCATGTTCTGATGTGTCTAAATAAGTGAACCATTGTGAAATGATAAAAGATAAAAACAGAACTCAAGAATTGAACTTGTTCAAATTTCCAAATAGTAATTGGATCAAAATTTTACATTTCAGATGAGATGAGTAAGCTTGAACAATCTTGATGAAGAACTAGTTGGACTAAAATATTATGTACTTGACAAGTTAGGGGTAAGAGGATCTCACCATCATTGTTAATGATTCCTTCATGAATTAACTTTGGTATACTAAGTTTCAACGCCAAGACTGCAGCTGCAGCAGGATAAAAGGCAACCCTCCTGATTTTCATTTTCTCTGCTACTTCAAGAATCCACCCGGAAATCTGATCAGCAATGACACAAGTGATTTTTTGGCCTTCCCCTTGGTTGATCTTCTCTATCAGCTCCTCCAACTTCCCAGGCATGACTCGTTGCATTGCTTCCGATAACCGCCCTAGCTAATTCCTGTCCTCAAACGGTTCTAAGCCGTCTGGAATCGAAACTAGATGAATATGATCCCTGCTTATATGACTTTCATCAGCCAAAGCATTCATGACTCGCTTATGATTGTGCTCTGTGTTCACAAATGTGACTTTGAAGCCATGATTAGCTAAACACTGTGACAACTCCATCAAGGGAATTACATGACCTTGTGCTGGATAAGGAATAGCTAAAATATGTTGTTTGCTCATTCTTTTTCTTTATTTTTCGTTTTTCCCACTTTCAGATATTTTCTCTTCTTAATCAGGTCTTTTTAAATATGAGGAGCCATTACTGTTGGTGTTGACTTCATCGGTACTGGTCTTATTTTTAAGTCATTAATTTGGTTTATGATATCGTTGTTTTCTTGATGCTTTGGTGAATGTGTAATTTCTTAGTTGTTCTTTGTGGAAGTATTTGTTGAAAAATATAAGTCCCACATCGGACACTTGACTAAATAAAATACAATATATAATGAATGGTTCCACTACTAATAATACCGAGGCCTTTTGTGATAAAACCCCACACCTACTAGGCTTTGGAGGCGGTTAGGTTGGGGATAATATCGGTATTGCTAGTAGTGGGTCATTGGCCTGTCTCTTTGAAATTTAACTTGGTAGTGGTGTTCTTTTCATGCTAGCGTCACTTGAATCAATTGGTCAATGAGAGTGATGTTGTGTAGATACAGCTGCACCAAAATGGATTCAGCTGCATCCTCAACTTGTGATACTCGCAAGTGCACGAGCCGTTCGGTAGTATAG